TTATCACATTTTCTCCACTTTAAAGGAACCCTATAGTTCACTTTATCACATTTTCTCCACTTTAAAGGCACCCTATAGTTCACTTTATCACATTTTCTCCACAGGAAGGGCACCCTAGAGTTCAATTTATCATATTTTATCAAACATAGGGAAGACATCCAAGAGGGAACTTTTTGTACAGTATGTCCTCTTATTAGTTCATGTTATCAATGATTTTAATTAAACATCTTTGCAAGGAACCAGTATACATACAACTGTATATAGCCTGAGCTCAAAATAACGTAGTAGCAATAAATTATGGAACAAGCAAATGTGCATTGTGTAAAGCATAAGTCCAGTTTAATTATAGCCTTTTAATATATGTTTTTAATTTTAATGCATTTAAACATATGAAGCAATAATACATATCATATATCATCATAGATACACATCATATGCTTATGATGATAAATGTCATGAAGTTATGTGCACCAAAAACTTAACCTCAGGCATATTTGGACTCTTAACACTGTGGAGGAAAATCAAAATGATCTCACATTATTTTATATTAACAACATGTAACTAATCCTGCAATAGTCTTTTTTTTCCTTTTACATTTTTTTAGATATATTTAGCGGCTTCCAGCCATTTTATTCAGTGATAAGAGACACAATTACACCTGTCAGGAAAAAATATACATTTCCTTAATTTACTTCATACTGTACATTCACTAAGTCCAAATTATCTTCAACACAAAACAATTCATATATATCTCAAGATAACTTGAGGTAGCTACTCCCTGCTTTGAGTGATCACTGTATGTATTGACTGTAGGCCAAAACTAATGCGGCAGATCATCAGGTAGTTTCTCACATTTCTTTCAAACCCAAAACAATAAAAAAAATATGATTCATTTTCATTTAATGGTGCAGCCTTTGTGTGACTGCTCACATCATTCTTCTTTAACAAACACTAAAATAGCATTTTATGTAATTTATAACATAGAGATGCTCAAAGGAGGCATTAGTCTGAGCCTTGAAAATCAGAGGGTTATCATTTGAGGATGAATGGTTGGAAATTGAATCAGACTCTCTGGAGCTGAAATGTGTCATTAAAGTAAAACGCATTTGTCATAAACAACATTCATTGAAAAACGATGCACATATTTGGTGGCAGCACAATGGAGTTTGCTTTTCTCTTGCATTCATTTACTCGTCGATTCAGAAGAGTGCTGCTGTTACTCAGCCCTGCGTCCCTCTTGCTGTTTGAATATTTGGCTAAGGGCTCACTGATAAAGTCTTTATTCAGACAAAAGAATTTGAATACCAATATTGTGCAAAACTCTTTGTACTACTTTCTACATCTCATGTTTTACACATCTTTGTATTCAAGAGATTTCTTTTTAGATTTTGAGTAAATAATTGTACCAATAGTGGAAACAGTATACTATACTATCTAGATTAGTTTGCTATAAACTTAGCATACAAAGTTAAATTGTTAGTAAGAGTACAATGTGAGAAAATATGTTTTAAATTATGGTTTGTATGTTTGATGGATTTCAGTAAGGTCTTTGAATTGTCCAACTTCCTTTAAGGGACGATTTCCTATGAATTGTTCATTTTGCTATTATGAAGCAGAATAAATCGATGTGTGGATGGTATTTAAAGGTAAGTATTGACTCCCTTTCAGCTGATACATTGTAAAAACCTATTCTAGACTATCTTAAGCAGCTCTGCCCAACCGTGTCCTCACTGGTACTCACGGGTGTTGGAGCTGTAGCTGTAGCCTGTAGTGGTGGGCGGTGGTGAGTCTGAGTCCACGGAGGCCGTATCTTCGTCCTGGGAGCAGCCTGCCTGGATCGCCCGCAGGTAGCTGTGGCTGCGCGACCGGAAGCACGTAGGCGCAGGTAGATCCAGAGCTTCCACCGCCTGCGATTCCCCCTCACAGTACGGTACTGAGTGCCCAAAGCCCTGCCCGCATACCTGAAAGAACGTGTGCAGACTCACACGCTGAGGGGCAGAGGGCAGACTTTGAAACATGCATTTACTTGCTTTATACCCAGTGGTGGGAAAGTACTCAGCAGCAAAAGTGCCAATACAACAATGTAAAAATACTTAAATACACATTTTCATTATCATAGTATTATCAGCTAAATGTATTTAGAGTTTTTAAAAGTAAAAGTATTCATTCCACAGAAATATTCCCCCTGTGACTGACGTATTATTATATATGACATTATTAGATTGTGTGTATCGATGCACCGATGTAAAGGCAGGTTTTTACTGTTGTAGCTGCTCGAGGTGAAGTTAGTTGTCGTGAGGTGATTAAAAGTTAAAAGTTCTCATAGATAAATGTATTCCTCCAATCTTTTTTTGTGACATATTGGATAATTTTTTCTCTCTGGGCCTTAAACAAATTCATCTGAGAAGTTGAGAGGAGACAATGTTTCTTTATGGGAACAACTCATAGACATCTGAACTGTGACAAGGGGCCCCAGCTAGACACCCAGCTGTAAGGGGTCACAAGTCCAAAAAGGTTGGAAACCACAGGCTTAATTTTTAACAGTGCATCCTATTTCACAAGGTATCTTATTACAGTATATATGTATATCTTGTTATGGTAACTATAGCTGCCAGATAAATGTAGTGGAGTATTAATGACAATATTTCCTTCTAAACTGGAGTGATGTAATAGTATAAAGTAGCATAACATTGAAATAGTCAAGGTATTAAGGTACTATACCTATGCACAATTTTGATGCACTGGTACTTGAGTAAATGTACTTGAGATGCAGAACACTTTAAAGTCTTGACTATGAGTTAAAATGTAAACTCTAATGGGCAAATGGTGAAATGGCTTTTTGCTTTTCAGTGTTATAAATGAAATACAAAATTCAACAGAGACTGTTTCATTCTCGGTACAGAGACAGTGAAAAAATATATATTCTCAGCATTGTATCAGTTACTCAAAATAGCTTTGGTTCAGTATGTCTTTGTTGCAAGGATGTGTGTTGTCACTGTATGATGGGAATACAGTAAGCTGAGACACCCTGCACCGACTGAAATGTTTGATCAAGCAACATAAAAAGAAGCAGAAACAACCAGTAGTATTTTTATGTTTGGCATTTCAGTAGCAAGTACGAAAGTGTCATGGGTGGTGCATAATCATGAATAAAAAGCCCTTAAAATCAACTCACTCAAAATGTTGTTTAGTATCCACAAATTCTTTACTCTGATCGTCTTTCCTGTCCTCTTGAGTCTCTCGGTCATTATTTGATTAATGTAAAAGCTCCCATGTACGAGTAGAGACTTGCTTCTTTATAAAAGGATGTTTGCATTAGTCTAGTGTGTGATTCTGCATCCCAGTCCAATCCTGCTGATGTAGATATACATCAAGATTCCCTCAGGTTTATACTGAGGCATATGTCCCACTTTGACATTCTGCAAACACATTCAAGCATCTCTTCTATTCCACCAGCTTGTTCCTGGCTGACTTATTTATATACCATCTCAGCAGTGTCAGCAGACATTATGTACACTTAAATATTCTCTCACAGTAGCTTCAAACTCGAGCTATGTTAAATAAAATTTTTGTTCATTCCTTGGTTATTTTTACACTGATCACATTTACTCTTTTTTTTGGGTCACTGGAGTCCATCCAAAATGATCTAATTAGCTGTTTTAGGACATCTAAAATGTCATAATGTATTATTATTTTTATATTTATTATTTATTATACGCAGACCTTTTTTAAAATTAAATATTGTTGCCATGAAAACATTGGTTGATCATGACTCTAATCTACACCTGAGTTAAACAGATACGTGAGGAAATGCTCTTTGCCACCCAAGTAATAATAATAATGTGACAAGCTAAGACATACCTGAGTGCCCGAGCCTCGGCCCAATGTACCGGAACATTGGCTGAAATCATTGTTCCTGTAGCGTGGCGGGGCCTCCAGTGGGCTCACCAGGCAGTCCAAGTTATCGAGGCTCCGGTTAGTCGACAGCTCTTTCAGAGACGGCAGGGAGCTGTGGAAGTGAATGTAATAATCAGCCCCTCGAAGTCAGAGACTGGAATAAGTGATGGTTGTGTTTAATTGATGATATCCAGGAGAAACTTTAAATCACACTCCTAAAAGTTCCCCTGGGTGTTTTAAAATTAAACATTATTGAGATGTGTGAATAGTGAATGTGCTAGGGTTTGAAAAAGCAGCACAGAGGAAACTGATTTATGAAACGCTAAATATGATTTAATAAATTGACTTTATGATTGATCTCGGTAATTTCTGAGAAGTTTCCTCTGTTCTGGCTCGGCCTTTTGGGACCCGGTGTTAGTGAAAATGTGTGTGCACTAAGCAGCAGGGTGTGGTGGAGTGATTTGCATGAAAAATTAGCATGTTATGAAATCAGGGCTTAAGGAAGCAGGTAAGAGTAAAGTACTAACACACCACTTTGGGTACCTGCAAGGTAAGAGATGGAACACAGGGCAGAGAGGAAAAGTACTAGAAGGGTTAGGCAAAAATAGGTGGTGGGTAGTGCTGGGGGGTCAAGTGAAGGAGGGCTGAGGGCCACACTGCCTGCCTTAGGATGACACTGACCTCAGATGCTGCATAGAGCATGCACTCTGTAGTGGCGACCACAGATAATCCTCCCGCATGAGAGCGTAGCAACGAGGCCTGTCCGTGTGGATGTAGGGGTGAAACACATGGCAAAATTTCATCTCCTACTGCTTTTGTACCAAATAAAGATGATACTGTGTGTCATTTCCTGTCCCCTCTCATTAATCTACACCTCTACCTCCATGAATATAAGCTTGTTGTGCTGCTGCACATCCAGACAATAATTTGTGACAAGATGCTGCCACCTGCTGACAACCTTTGAGGACAGAGAAAAATATTTCTTCCCACAATTTTTAACAATAATTACCCTTTCAGTGCCTTTTTCTATTTTAATGAATGTAAAGTAAAAAAAAAAAACAACACAAAAACAACTATGAAAAAACAATGAGCATGATAATCAACGTCATTATTCCAATATGATGAATTTGATTCTCTATGCTGTGGGACTCACTTGCGTGGAGGTGGAGGTGGCTGCTGCTCACTCAGGGAGTGCTGGGTGGCCTTCAGGTAGCTGTGGCGACGGGCAGCAGATTTGGGGGAAGGTTTGGGGCTCCCCTCTGAGTCCTCACTGTCTTCTAAGTCTCCCATAGCTTTTACATAGCTGCCACTGCGCATCCTTCGACAGGGGATCTCAGTTCCTCTGGCCCGGCCACGACCCAGAGTTCCTGCCCAGTCCCCTAGTGGGACCTAGATTATGAAGACATATGTTTGAGACCATGTAATGCAGATATTTCAGGTGTATCACCCTTAGACATAACTATTTCATAGTTTGTGTCTCAATTTGTTTGCTATATTAACAGTATGGTTCTGACCATGAGCAGCAATGGTACAAAGAAAATATGACTGGGAAGAACGTTGTGATTTATTGGGGAAATCTATAAATGTGATTGACTATAAACAATGAGGATAAAGTATATACGATAAACAGAATAAGGGTCAGTCTAATCAAATTATCAGGCAAAGCAGGAAAAGTACTCAAAACTGATTAATTAAACCAACAAACCTCAGAGAAATTATAAAAATATTCATGCAAACTTACAAAGAATGATGATGAAGATGAATACTCACTGGCCCTCCTACCTGAAGGAACTGTTGTGCCAGGTCTTGGTGGCATGACTTTGATTTAAGAAGGGTCCTGTTGACTGTAGCAGAGCCCTTCTGCAACACTTGCCTGGCCTGGCTGAGGGTGAGAGTGGACCAGGAGCCTCTCTTCACCAGTATATCATCCTTGCTTCCCCTGGTTCGTACCTCCTCTTCCTTGGATCCTACCTGTGTCGTCGGGCATGCCAGAAACTTGAGGTCACTGCTGCTTTTCGAGGTCTTGAGAGTATGTGCAGAAATGGTGTTGTAGCCCTGTGGGATATGTCTGGCCTGGCTGTCTGACACCGCTCTGCCAAGAGTCATCATGGTCAGTGGGTTGCGGTAACCTACAGCAATAGTGCCAGCTTTGGTGGTGTCAGTGTCCAGGGCATCATCTGAGCTCCAGAGGCCTAATGCATTGGGCCTAGGTCTCTGCTTTGGCCCCTCAGTTTTAGCCCTGTCTTTACTCTTGCTCCTGCGGGTTGGTCTACCACCGTCCTCACCTGTAGTGCCAGTCATTCCTCCAGCAGAGCGCCCGTTGATGCTGCCTTTGATTGCAGAATTTTCCAGGGACTGGGACTTGGCAAATAGCTTCTGCACAGAGTGCATCAGGTGGCGAATGCGTCCTGGGCTCTCACTGCGTTGCTTTGACATACGTCCTCTATGAAACTGCAGCGTACTGAAGCCATCGCGCTGCAGAGGCAGGTGCCTCTCTAGCTGATCCAAAAGGTTGGAGGGTAACCGATTCATCTTGGCTGCTGCTGCAGAGGAGATGGTGGCTGATCCACTGGTAATCATGGGAGCACCACTAAGGCCCAGACCCAAGCCCATGCCCATAGACAAAGAGTTGGGTAGTGTACCTCCTCTGCTGCCCTGCCCAACTCCACCACCACCAGCCATACAGGCCTGGGAGCAGTCGACCTGTTCAGTCTGGGAGGTGAAGTGCAGACGAGGGAAGGTGCTGCTGTTGGACATCTGGCTGAAAGGCAGCAGGCAGTCAGGGGTGGTGGGGCTGGTAGGAGGACACTGGTGGAGATGGGGGTCCAGGGTGCCATAGTGGTTTATATTGGGGCTTAACAGAAAGGAGCTGTGAGGGTCAGAGGTCAAAGGACAGAGAGGCTTCTGGGGGCATCCCGTCGGTTCACACGAGTCGGACAGGTGACGACTGCGGTTGGCTCCTAACCCTTTCATGGTGGCTGAGGTGTCGTCCTTAGAACATGTCTCCAATCAGTATGGGTCTACTGACCTGAAGGGCTCATCCTGCAGTGTGGAGAGGCACAGAAATGATCTATTAGACATGGAATTCAAGTAATTTTAAGAAAGATCTCTAGTTGTTGCTGATATTTATTAATGCATTCTGATAGTTGTGTGGAAATGTATTAAAATAAAACAACAACACTTCTGTGCATATTCCTATCAAGTGTTATTTTCTCTGATTAACCACAGTTTTCATCCTAGTTTAGTGGACAGTTCTTTCAGAAATGTTTAATAAAAAGTACCAGTGTTTGTCCCTTAATAGAGATTAAAGTTAACAGTGCCTAACAGTAAAACAACCATTTGCGTGCAATATAAAGCCTCAGAGGGGGAATTCTTCACATCAATACTTAAAGCTAATGAAAACATTAGAGTTAGAACTCATTTAGAAGTGCTTCTCTCAGTATGTCCTTGAATTTCCAGGACAGTAAATGAGCTAAGAAAGACTTTATAGACTATCTCTGCTGTGTGGCACATTTCACAGAGGCAGTATAACACAGCCAGTAATGTGTAGAACAGAGCCATTGTCCTCTACAATAAGTTCACATATAAGTTGCTTAACACAACAAACCACCAGGTGGAGCACCAGCAGCAAGTGCTGTTTGGCTTGGGTGAAAACACACACATAAAAATTGTATTTGGTTCTTGATAAATAAGCCTGGGTTTAATAAATTATATGTCCATGCAAGATTAAAAAAAACACCCCTGCATTATAAAAATTCCATTAATATTTTGTCATTTAAGTGGTGTTATTCCTAAAGGCAACTGAACAATACAATGCTTACACAATACTGTCTCTATCATGCTGGCACTAAATGGATAAGAACAATGGAGCCAACAGGGTTAAAAGACAAAAAACAAACAGACAAAATCACATATTATTCTAACTGAAAAGGACTGCCTGTTCAGTTTACTGCATGAAATGTTCCACCATAGTAGGAAACCAGATAGCCTGAAGCCCAATCTAAAACACCACAGTGATGTACGGCCTGGAGCTACTTCACTGACAATGCATAGGAGAACGATATTGTGACTCATACATGTAAATGAGCTTTATATTTAAGGAGCGATATTTGTTCCGAAGCAGGAAATGAACCCTCATTTCTACAAATCATTTTTGGTACTTCGCCATCCCCTTGAATCCACTTACTGTGGGATGAGCTGGGAACAATAAGTCTTCCATAATGCTCACTGAAAACCGAAGAATTCTCGTGCAAAAGCAAATATTTCATGGATTCAGTGGCATTTATGTTAGACACAAGCAGAGATAAATGTTGAATTCAATCTGATAAAACGTATTTGTTATCATTTATAGACTATGTATTTTATTTTGTAGGAAGAGCTCCTTGTTCGGGGTAAGATTTTGAAAATAGATCCCCAGAAAGCTGACAGGGGGGGCAGCTCTGATGTATAGTTAATGGTCATTTTCTCACCGCTTCCCTGGGATAAAGCTAAATGTAATATGGCCTCCTAGTCAATATAACCTACAGTTTCCAATCCAACCACGATAATTAATCTTAATATAGCACTTACATAGTTTTTGTCATCCACTGAATATGATATATCTCTGCCATAAAGGCAAACATGGTGGCCTGGCTAAGTGCCTCTGCCTCACAGAAGTGGTCTGACCGCAAGTGTAGAAACACAAGCACAATGAAGAGCCAATGAGGAGAATATTTGAAGGCGACTGGCTCGTCTTCTTCTATCACAAACCTACTCGTTCTCAAAGCTCACTATGAACAGACAGTAATATTGCATCAAGGTTATGAAAACTCATAATTCACAAAGCAGAAATCCATGCTGCATTAAATTCACTCTAACAGATGCTGTCTGTATCACAGTGGAGTGACTCACTGATCAGTCAATGGTAAGAGCCCTCTCCCATAGCAAGCATGAAATCTTGCCTGGGAGCTGAATGTGGAATGTTAACTGCACACATTTTCATTCCACTGTGTTGGCTTGCCACTTCTTACGTCTCTCTGACCTCCCATACACTCTCTACAGTGTGAGAGCAGCCACTTATCTGAGTCAGTGTTCCTGGACGGGCACAGCGGTGTGCTGACAAATACACCAGCATTTTACAACAGCGCAGCCTGCTGTAATTCATCCACCCGAGCTGACTGTAGCCCCATGTGTTCACGTCCTGTAGGCGCCACTGCTGACAAACTGACACACACCTACACTCTGACACACCAACACACACTGACACACGCACAAACGTGCTAACCGCCCGCCCACCCGTCCACCGCACCAACGAAACCCTGTCAAGTGTTGAGCATCACGGGGGCAAGATGAGAAAGAAATAATGTTCACAGTTCATGTAATTCTGTCACAGGTTCAGTGCATCTGTCTGTCTATGTGATGGTGGCCAGCAGGGTCCTGCATAATTACAAGGTGAATGGATCCTTGGACTGTGTGTGATGAAGCAAATATGTCTCTGCTTCACATACGCACGTACACACACTGTAGGGAGGCAATAACTGGCTGCGGGAATTATCTCAAAGAATCTTGAACATTCACTGACGGGAGTGTTGCATTACTTTCACCAGCAGTTACATGTGAGCAGCACCTGCAATATCAAAAGCATAACCTCAAATGATCTCACACGTAAGTGCCGTATTGGTTGCAGTTGTCCACTTATGTAATGCAGAGAGCGATCTTACAGTTGTTTGTGTATTCTGGTCCTGTAAGGGTCATCTGGAGGGTAAACACTCATGCAAGCATTTGGTTGATGGAAAACTACAATCGCCATTAAAAAACAAAGAAAATTAGATTTGACAAGAGTAACCTTGTTGTGGTTGTCTCTACAGTGAAGATTTATGTAGCATATCTCAACTTACTTACAGCGTAGCGCATGTTAAGATGTCAAACACATAAACAAAAAAAGCACTGAACAAAAAGACTTAAATGAAAACAAATTATAAGTCATTAAAAGCCTTTGGTCTCTTGTTCAAACACCAAGAAAGTAATTTGATAAATTAATGTACATGGAGTAAACAAAAGGCTTATTAGAAGAACATTAGCTGTATTTACGAACTGTATAAACCAAATACCTCCTTGAAAATATGAAAATAACAGTGAATAACAGTGTGCATTAAAATAAATAACGTCAAATGGTATATGGATATATATAACTATATATATTCCTCCAGTTTTAGTTAAAGTTAGATATATATTGTTTTGTCCATCTACTGTCAGCAACCAAATTCTCCCAGTGCCAAATCATACAACGAATGAAGTCTTTTTATAATCTGGAGCAGATCAAAGAAGCACTGCAGAATCCCCCTGCACTACAGGGCTAATAAGGTCTGAATAACAAAACTGGATGGTTGATCCACTTGGGCCTTTAAAAAGCATAGTGATGTCTCAAGCTTTAACATATGTTACAAGGAAAACGTCTTTTTTACACGAAGAGTCAGAGTAGGGTTAGAAGGAGTGTGCTGCAGTCAAGGCTGCAGTAAAACTGGCTCCTGAGCATGTACTGTACAGAAAATACACTTAAACTGTAATCATAATCAACTACAATTCAATGCTTGTAGAAGATGCCCCTGAGTTTATCATTCCATACGTTGCATATTCATTAAATAACTGCATTGTTTTTTCTTCGCACTCAGTTAAATATTGAATAGTGTACTCTGAACAGATTCTCTCTACTGTGGTTGTCCCTTAGTAGCCTGTTAGCCAAAATGTTTGCACACTCCTCAAATCTAGAATTATATCTAGAGTTATGTCCACCAGCTAGTTACCAACATTGTCTGTCTGCCGTTTGGTGCTGTGCAGGTAGTGTACATTGTGTTTATCAGGGTTATTTTGTGGGAGGGGAATTCAGAATCCGAAATACTTTATTGATCCCTGGGGGGAAATTTGTAAATTTGTTTAGTATTTTTGTGGATAATTGCAGAATTGCAGATAATTCTCTGTGGGTTCATCACTACCAACAACTCCTTTCACATCACATGTAAGCATTTGATCCACTGTATAAAAATAATACGTAATATAGCCACTTTAAATAACTACAAGAAAAATGACTTTATCCAACACATTTATGAAGCTATACCAGAGGAGTGGCTCATGGCTTCATTTTCTCAAACTTGTCTTGCACCCTTGAGACTCAAGGGGGCCACCTACAGTAAGACATCATGTTAGTTGCACCTTTAATTTAATAAAGTAACATTGCGAGTGTGCCGATTTCAAGTCACAGTAAACATATTATAGTCAATGTCACAGTTGTTATATAGTAAATTCAGTCATTATAAACTCTCACAACATCTTCTCCCAATTACTGATGAAATGTGGCATCTGGAGATGGATAAAAGTGGCTTGGTATCCTGGTTAAGGGATTAAAACAAAAAATTTAAAACAAAGGCTGATAATTCGGCATATTTCTTTCTTAAGATACAGTAACTACTGACTCATACCTCAGTCACAAAAACTATTTCATGTCTTAAAACTGACATTTTGGGCCTCTGATGGTCAAACCACAAACTCATTTAGTACAGTGAAGCAGTCCTATTATACTGTATACTGCGTACATGTGCTTATGTGACTCTGAGATCTGTTTGCTCCTACACAACGTTGCTATCACATGTCACTGTGTAGGAAAATCAAAGCCAGATGACAAAAAATCAACAAGCAAATACAAATGTTATCAATGCTGCAGCTTTTCAAGTAGAACAGTTTCTTTGTTGGAAGACGTTTCAAGTACAAAAAAAACTAAACAAAAACCCAGTGGGACAAAATAATATTTATAGTATCGTTTAAGCTGCATCAAATTTTCAGTTGTCATGGTTTTGATATTTTTGATAATTAGGACACTCCAGCTGAACTGATAAAAACATTGGGGACAAGCTTGATATGTTGTCTGTTGCTGGGAAAGGGTGTAAAATTAGGCAATATTATTTTATGTTCCATTTTTTGTCATTAAAAGCTATATTCTG